AGTTGATTCCTATTCATCCTTGGCAATATTGGCACGTCTAGAAAAACATCGAACTCTGTTTTTACATGATCAGCAGTAATAAATGCAAATATGATGCTCTGTTTGGACCGTAGAGACAATGGAGCCATGCGTGAGTTTGTTGTTGTGGAGAGTAGGGTTTGCATTTATATACTGTCATACTAATGCTATTATGGGCTAATGGTAAGTAGACTGGCCGAATGAGTCAGGTAGATGTAATGAGGAGGGGAGGGATTTTGTTTTGATTTGGATAGAAAAGTAGTGTAAAGCCCATTATTAATTCAATTTTTTTTCGTTTTTTAGCGGGTAATCGGTTCGGTTTCGGTTCGACGACGTAAATACCATACCCGCACCATTATGAACCGGTTCATTAAAATCAAAACCATATCCGCCCCATTGCACCATTGGTTCGGTTTTTTTCACCCCATTCGGTTCGGTTAACCGTGGTTTTCAATTTTGACGGTTCAAATTGCCATCTCTAATATCAATGTATGAATTTTTTCTTTCATAAAAATATGAAAAAGATTGAACCCCAATCTTGAGGACCCTCACCACTTCGTCCCTAAAGTTTTTTGAGGGAGGTAAATCGCGGGATATGTCCCAACAGGCTCGGGAACAAGAGCTGTCTATACATTGCACCTACAAGGAGTTCAATTTCATGTTTCAGGAATCGCACTTTCACACTGCGGCTACCAATAAGGCGTGAGATGGTGGTGTTGAATCCTACCTAACAGTAACAGATATGTCGAAACTGTTTTAATTAGCACCTGGAAGCGATTGTTTATATTTTAGAATAAACTCTAAGAAAATAATGCTTTATTTGCTCATCTATAACTATTCATATAGCGATACCCGCCCACGTCCGGAATCCGACCTAGTACAATCTCTAATTATTATGATATCAATGTATGATAGTTAATCTAATCCCAACTGTCACGATTCAAAAAATAGACATGTAAAAATGATAAATATAAAGGAATATTTTAGTTTTTGATAAACTTGAATTTTGTAACAATCCAAGTTCTATCTTATATAGAAAATTATTACAATAAAAATTTATGATCAAGCTAATAATTATTAAGGGCCTACATAGAAGTTTTGGGTTACCAATTTTGAGCATTTATGAGTGGATCGATTTTGAGTAATGTTAATAACGATTTTAAAAACAGTCAAATCCATGTTTAGAAGTTTATTATTCATCGATTTTGAAAGTTTTTTAGAAGAATAAAATTATATATATGTCCCTTAGTGAAATTTTCATTTTATAATTTCTCATATATTTTTTTACTCATAAGCGATATTTTACTTGTAGATAATTTTTTACATACAAATTAATATTTAATTTAAAAAGCTAAATAAATTTAAGTATTTACATAAAATTTAAGTTAGTACTTTTTACTTATAAGTAAACTTTACAATTATAAGCTAATTTTGTACTTTATATAATTTTTAAACATAAGCAAATTTTTACGTATAAGTGAATTTTTATCTTATTATAATATTTTTACTTTATAAATAATTTTTTATACAAAAGTAATGTTTTAGCTTATAAGTAAATTTTTTAGTTATAATATAATTTTTTAGCTCATACATAATTTTTTAATTAGTATAAATATATATTTATTTAGTAATTTTGAATAAAATATGTTGGTTGAAAAGAATTATTTTATAAAGAATAAAATTAGAAGTCAGTATGAGAAACGATAAAAAACGTTCATTTGGTGGATTGAGAGAATTAGTCAAAATTATATTACGCCAATTTAGTCAATTTTTTCATTCAATCTTTTTCCTCCACATCATTTTATATAATCCCTTATCTATCATTTTTATGTCCAAACGGCATAATCTTTTTTAAACCATCTAAAATAGGTGCTCAGAAAACTGGTAAGAACTATTTTTTTTTTTTTTTCAATTCTTCATAGATGTTGTCTAAGGCTGGATATGGTTCGGTTCGATTCGATTCTAACGAGAATCGAACTGAACTCGAAATTTTCGGGTATTTAGTAAGTAAAACCGTCGGATCCAAATTTCATTATAATTAATTTTTTTTAATATTTACAAAGTTACATTAATTCAACTAATGATATGTTCAATCTTAACTCTAATAAAATAATGTAGTCAAATTTTATGTATCTTTTACGTTTCTCTTTGCTGAGTTTTCATAGATTTGATTGCTAAAATTATAGGAAGAGAAAAATGGCAAGTTCAAAATAATTAAGAGAATGATTATTGAGTTTCAATTTGATTTCTCTAGAATAGTAGAAACGGCACTACAGTAGAATAACAAATTTAGATAAACTTTAGGTCAATTTGATTAAATTAGTTTTGAATTGAAAATTATATATAAGAAAATCATATTTTTGAGTTTGAGCTAAATTAACTAGTAACTAAATTTATTTAGAAAAATAAAATAATTTGACTAATTTTTTAAAATAAATTAATTAAAAAATTAGGGAGATTCGATTCTTAATCTAAAACCGAACCAAACCCGTCGATTTTCGATTCCAATACCCGTTCAGGTATTTAATTTAAAAAGAATCACTCGATTCGATTTGAAAGTTCTGTCCAATCCTAATGGTGTCACCCAAAACATGTCAAAATCGATTAAGGACAAAAAAAATTAATAATAATAAAAAAGAAAAAACACTCCAGAAGGCCCTAAGAGGAGTTAATTGTTCTAATGGTCACTAAACTTAAGTACGTATTTTTGATTGGTCACTAAAATTTAAATTGTCGAGTTTTGATTACTGAATTTAGGTTCATGTCTTCGATTGCTCACTGAAGTTTAAAATATCGAGTTTTGACCACTGAACTTTGAAAAATGTTGTACATTACACACTGAATTTTGAAAAAGACTGTACATTACTTACTGTAAATTCGATATTTTCAAAATTCAACAGTTATACTAATGAGTAGCATACGGCATATTCCAAAGTTCAGTGGTCAAAACTCAACATTTTAAATTTCAGTGAGCAATTTAAGATATGGACCTAAGTTCAGTGAGAAATTGAAGACATTGACCTGAGTTCAGTGATCAAAACTCGATATTTTAAATTTCAGTGATCAATCAAAGATATAGATCAAAGTTCAATCATCATTGGAACAATTAACTCGCCCCAAGAGTAATTAAATGGAAGGACTACAAATCAGCCAGCTATTCATAACCGTGGTGTTTTTATACTACTGCTAATATTTTTCATTCTATGCAGGGTGAGAAAAATGCGGGCTATCGCGGGCTGCGGCAGATTTCTACTCCCAAAATTTCGAAGCAAAAGTTATCCATTAATCCGATTAATTAGTGAAAGAAATATCACTACTTCTCCTTCTTCTTCTTCATCACATGGCCCTCTTCTACAGAAACTTCTGAAAGAGCCAATTTCAAGAATTAAAGCGACCCTAGAATCTGAATTCAACTCAAGATCCGAATTTCCATGGGCTTCCCTCCTTAGTTTGCTCAATAACTCATCTTCCCAGAAGGCCAATATGGTAGTTTTTTCTTCTGTACGTGCGATTACATGGAAGATGCTAATCGTGGAAGTGTCAAATTTGATACTTTCTTATGTGTTTGATAAAATGATTGTTTCATTTAGCTAGGCTAAGTGACTTTCGATGGCGAGTAGATACAGTTTTGTACAAAGTCCAGTGTTATAGTCTATTTAATGAATTCTAAGATGCCATATTGATTCTTCGCTGCTCAACATATTGCCAATTAACCTGTGGATGGGATCTCATGTTCTTTATGTCTGGGTGGTGGTAATATTTTTGAATTTTGTTAAGAAAGCTATAAGCAGCATTTGAGTTCTAAATTTGGAAATTTTGCTTACCTTAGCGTATGGGTTTCAGAAATTATAGTGCTTAATAGGGTCATGGAGTTATTTTCTGATTTTAAATTCAATGAGCTTTGTAGACTCAAGTTGATAAAAGGTTGGATGGCAGGCTCATTTTTTAGACTTGAGGAATGGATAGTGGATAGTTAGGCTTTTCTAAAGGGTTTATGGGAACCAGTCTAGGTGGCAACTGCATAATATTAAACAATAGATTCGGTCAAATGAACCTATCAAGTGTAATCGCCTAAACTGGTGCTCTTAGCATTATTTTTATGGGATAGGTCCAGGGCTTATTAGTGCCAGAGAGCTTCTTTTTTGTCAGTAATTTTGTCACGATTCATAAAGGATTAACTGGGGATTTGAAAAATACGGATATATCCTTCACTGTAGTTATCTGTGGGTGGGCACAGATATATTCCAGGGTGAAGGAAGGTTGGGTAAGTGTAGACTTTCTTGTGATAGTAATTTTGAATGAGCAAGTACAAGAAGACAACGAACTAAAGAGGGGATGGCATGGAGACAGAGAAGTTGTCTCATTTTTATGCTTACCTTGTTTAACATAAGATGGTAGTGCTGCCAGTGATGCACTATTTTCTAAAGAGCAAGCTATTTGGTTAACTAAGCAACGTGAAATAGTGGCAGAATCCTCCAAGGTGGGTTTCATCTGCTCGTGCATAGTTTTCTGAAGAATGTAAAGATTATAGTTAAACTTTTATCAATCCATGAATATGTTTTCATACTTTGTTCAGTTAAGTTGTTCTCGTATGTGCTCATGAATCTTAAGTGAATTTGTAGTGATGCATGTTAATTGTTTGTTATGTGTAGGTTGTAGAGTGGAGATTGGAGAAATTGACTGAACAAAGTGAGGAAAATCATGATTGTTACTTGGAACTGATTTCTTTATGTGGTAGTATTCGAAATCTTCCAATGGCGTTGCAGATATTTACTACAATGGAGACTCGGGGCCTTAAACCGACTCCTTCAGTCTTTAATGCCCTTATATCCACATGTTTATCTTCAGGTAATTTACTTACGGCGTTAAGCTTATTTGAAATAATGGAGAACTCAGAGGGCTATAAACCTGATTCTGATACTTATCATGCTTTCATATCTTGGTATGCAAACTCGGGGAACAAGAAGGCAACTGAAGCTTGGTACTCGTCCAAAAGGGCATCTGGGTTTTCCCCAGATCTTCGTACATATGATTTTCTCATATTGAGTTGTACCAAGTCACGGAATTTTAGTGATGCTGAAAGATATTATGAAGAAATGATGTTAGCGGGATTAATGCCTAATGTGTCTATACTGCAGAATATGCTCCTGTTGTACTGCGAGCAGAGAAATTCCAGTAAAGTGAAAGAGCTTTTGCAAATTATAATCGAAGGGGGTTGTAGGATTAATAAACTGATTGCGAAAGAGGTTGTGGAATTTTTTAACGATTTTGGAACGGTGGAAGATATGGAGGAGTTACTAGTAACTTACCCAAAATCCGAGCAAGTTTTGGAAATTCATTCGATGGTACATAGCTCCTTTATAAGAATGTACGCTAAGGCAGACAGACTGGATGATGTAGAGTATTCAGTCGGGAGGATGTTAAAAGATGGGATATCGTTTGACTCCCCAGATGATGTTGAAAAGGTAATATGTTGTTATTTCAGAAAGGGAGCTCATGATAGGCTAGACGTGTTTTTGGAATGTATAAAAGGTTATTACAAGTTTACAAGATCAATTTACGATTTGTTGGTTGCTGGTTATCGAAGGGCAGGATTATCGGAGAAATTAAATTCAGTGGTGGATGAGATGAAGCAGGCTGGTTTCGCTTAGTTTCTAGAACTATAGTATAAATAGATCACCTCATCCTGGTCACCTCGAATTAAGGAGGAAACCCCCATTCCAAAGTTACGAGCCTATTTTGTCAAGTCATTAGAGACGCATTGTTTGGAGTTGAACAAGAAGGCTCAGGCTCTTTGAGAGATCAAGAATTTGATCCCTGCCCGAGCAAAATGAAGAGTGCTCATCAAAATTGTTGTTCTTGTAGGCTCAACTTACCTATTTAATGATCAGCTTAAAACGTGGCTTATCTTTGTAGAGGGTAGTTTGCAAATGCTGGGTTGCAGGCTCAGAATGATTTATTTTGCTTTAGTTTCTTTCTGGTTGCGATTCTTATCAGCTCTTGCTTAGTTGCAAGGATTCTCGTCGACAAAATTCTTATTCCATGGTGTTCCCATCCAAACACGAGGTATTAGTTGATGACTAGGCCTGGGCGCAGGTCGGTTCGATTCTGTTTTCTTTAGAACCGAACCGAATCGAACCAAAATTTTTGGGTATCTAGTAAATGGAATCATCGGGTCCAAATATTATTATGGAACCATTCGGGTTCAATTCGGTTAGGTTCGGTTCGATTCCGTACTATAATTAATTTTTTTAACATTGATAACCACACTAAATAAATACAACTAATAACACATTCAATCGTAGTTTTACAAATTAACGTAGTCCAATTTAATAATATGTAAAGAACAAGTTGCCCAACAAGATTAATTTACCAATGCTTACAAATACCAAAGAGTAGATACTAATACTAAAACTTCAACTATCCATTAACTATTCGGTCAGTGGTCATAGCTTCGGTCGGAGGTGACAGCTTAGGTCGGCAATTCTATAGGTTTTGGAATGCCAGCGAGAGTGAGTGCGAGACACCGACTCAGATGTTATGCACTTATGTGTAATGTAGATGTTTAGAATTATTTAGTGGGTTGGATCATATTGGGATAAGAAATGAAACAATAAAATAGGTAATTGGGCTAAAAATTAAAAAAACTAGAATCGGAACAAATTATTGGGCCAAAAATTTGGATTTAGAAATTGTTAATTTATTAATTTGTTTAGAAAAAATTAAAATTAAAATAATTTGATTTATTCAACATAGCAAAAAATTAGGAAGATTCCGTTCTTATTCGATTTTTCGGTTCTTGGTCTAAAATCAAGAATTGAACCGTACCCATCGGTTCTCAATTCGAGTACTCGTTTGGGTATCTAATTTGACAAGAACAGTCGGGTTCGGCTTGGGTCGGATCGGGAGATTTGCCCAACCTGCTGATGTCTTTCCTATTTACATATAAACCTGCTAAGGGTAGTTATAGCTTAGTTGGGATTTTAATCTGTACTATACATTTATTTCTGTTAAACAACCATTTCACATGGACATTGTATACGAAAAACCCAATATGTGTAAACAACATGATCGATATTCACGAAAGAAGAGTTCGGCTGTGTGATTATTGGAAAAGTGAAAAAGGCAGAAGCACTTTCAGAATCGGCTTAAGGGAAACAAGATGTTATTATAAAGTCTCAACTCTAGAACTAGGGGTACATTGATTTATCAGATTATTCTACTTCCGTGGTCAAGTCTCTCGTGAAGACTAGGCTAAAATATCAAAAAGAATAATGGAAAAATAATCTATAAAGTAGTAAAAAGGCAACTGAAATCAATCATACTCATGGACATTTCATGGTTAGGCTCTTGTTAGGAAGATCAGTACAAACTAAAGAACAGTCGCTGTCACAACCAACAAAAGAAAGCAGCTATCCAACAAACAGAAAAGGTTCACAAAGAGAAGCTGATACCTGACTGGGAGAAAACCTCTCTTCACATCTCTCTTCACCTGAGCAGCACTGTTCCCAGTCGGTTTGACTGCCCTTACTATGGGGGAATAAGTTCAAGATTTTAATGAACAAGATGTACTATTTATCAACAATATCTTCCGTTTCGAAATTTTTCTTGGATTTACTAGTCTAAGCATGAAACAATATACCTTAATATTATTGATCATTCTTTGATTCAAACAATAACTGCATGACAATTTGTGTTTCAATAGCCTTACAGTTGTTCGAGTAGAAGTTCCACTTGCAGCTTTTCTCACACATTTAGAAGTATGTAAATGGCAACAAAGATAGACATGGGTGGAGTGGCAAATTGAGTACAGATTAATGGCCCAAAAATTACTTGACCTATTACACTTGGATGCAACAGAGTCACCGTAAATTTAGCATAGACAAGTAAATGTCAATATCACCGAGTATAAACATTCATTTAAGAAAGTTCAAATATCGTGTAACCATTTGACCATGTACTGAGTGTACTCGGAGAGTTACTCTCTCTGAATATTAAAGAATGGTAAATAGCACCAAACGACCCTACCTTTCATTTTTTGATATTTTTACCGTATTTCCACATTTCAATGCACTATTCTTTCCATTCATTTTTTCAATAAAAAGATTATTTTACCCCTTATTCAAATAAAACAAAAAGAAAAGAATAGAAAAATAAAGATCTAATTGCAACTATAATCCCAAAATTTTAAAAAATTATAAATCAGTCACAAATATATACTTAAACTTCAGCTATCGACTTCCTCTATAACTCCTTCGCCGCCACCACCACTCCTCCACTCAACCTCACTGAGGACGCCCTCCTTGAACTGCCATTTAATACGCCTAATCAATGATTCAAACAAGGACCAAGTTAATGTGAGTTTTTGCACAACGAATATTAGCATGCTTTTCCTTTGATGCCTCATTTTCTTCTATCGTCCACCATGTCTCCTTGATTCTCTCCAATTTACATCCCCAAATTTCAGTTGTTTCAAAATTCTCGGAACCCGAAGCGTTAAAAAAATATTCGTTTCCTTCTTTGGCTTAACCCCTTTGACGCTAGCCAAAGAATTTTATAAATCCAATATTTTTTTAAATATATATAAAAATATAATTGAAGGTAGTTATCTATATAAACTTAGGCAAATGTAGCAAAATTTGATTTTGTAAAAGATTTGAAGACAATTCGACAATTACAGATTTAACAACAGCGGAAGAAAAATATATTTGGCCTAGCAAATGTCCATTAAAATTTATGAAATTTTTACAAGGACTAAAGCATTCATATATGTACCACATATAAAAATTTGGGGTTTCGATGATAACGTTTGAAGCATGAAAATATTACTCGGATATGCTGGACAGAAATCTCGGATTCGACACGACACAGTTTACTAAAACGGGCATAACTTTTCCTTTAGAAAATATTTTTGAGAAATTCCAAAGGCCAATATTAGAAGGCTCACAGACCTTTCAAACCCCACTGATTTCACTTAAAAAACATGCACCGTAGCCCAAGTTATACCATTTTCAAATAGGAGGACAAAATCTGAAATTTAACCCCGCATAAATTTAAACTTCATACATATTCAATGCAACACCTCTAATTTCTAGTTAACATGCATCGTCCATGAAACTAAAAAAAATAAACATTAAAACATTTCTAAAAAGTGTCATCTAAGTATCCATAAAATGTTTACATAAATGGAAATATTTACTAGGAATTTGAAGCATTAGAGATCGCCGAACACTTGCCATTATGCCAACCACTGTCATGCCTCGATCTTAACCTGTAAAATTATTTGTAGGGATAAGTGCTATAAATAATACTCAGTAGGAAGCACTTAAGTAAATGGTAAAAATATATATTTTCAGAAATGCAAACTTTATTTGATTGTGTCACCGTCAATTTCCAGCGAATTGGTGATCAGTCAAGTCCACTTACTTGTAGGTTTTGATAACCCCATTTCATTTATCATAATCATTTCTTCATATAAACCACCAAATGGTGATTCCATTTCTTGTGTAAACCACCAAACAGTGATTCCATCATGAGTAACACAATAGTAAGTTTAATGCAAACGAAAACATATAAGTATTTCATCACTTATAAAAGCGCCGAAACACCCCTACCTTAATGTTTGAAATTTGAATACCGTTTTGCGTTCAATAAGAAGTAAAAATGCAGCGTACTTCCTTGCCTTTTCTTCAAATAAAATTTTTCAGATATAAGATGCTCTATGTCTAGGGAAGAAGGGTAAAATAATTTTATGCGGTTAAAGGAGGTGAAATTTGGCTTTCACAATACAATATGGCTTGTAAAACTAAAAAGGGACATGTTTCTGTAATTTTTTTTCTCATGGTGTGGCCGTGTAGAATTTAAAATGGGAGTTACAAATTTTCAATTGCAATGGTGGTGGGAGTTGTATTTAAAATTGGAGGTTACACTTGAGGAAGTGGGGGTGGTTTAAATTTTAAAAAGTTTACTTCCAAATGGAAATGGATAGGGATGTGTAAGTTATCATCCCAAAAATCAAATGACAGTTTTTTTTTTTTTTTAATGGCTAATCAAAAATGGGGTTTAAATAATAAGGTAAGTTTGGATGGTTAATGCACTGTACAATATGTTTTCTAATCTAAGATTTAATAGATATACAATAAAATGTGTGTCGTCAAAACAAAGTAACAAATAAAATTTGTCGTCTAAAGAGATTTCGACACCTTAGAAAATTTTTTAAAAACAAGTACGCGAAACTTTACTATCATGACCAAAACTTTAATTTGAACTCTTAAGGAAGTGGCATAGCGACGTAATAATATAACCCAAATTATATTTGAGTTCTATAATTTTATTTTAGAACGAAACAAAATATTTTTTTTTTCCGATCGCTACAAAAAAAAAAATGCTTCATCCTCTGTTTTGTTTGGTATTCGAAGAAGTGTTTGAGATTCTGTTGCTTCTTTTTTGAATGCCTTTACAGAAGCCACTTCTCCTTTTGATGGACATGGGTAAACACGGCTGAGGCCCGATGGTCATCTCTACCACTGGAGGGACTCTCTTTGTGATTCTAGAGTCCATTTTGTAGAGTATAATAAACACTCAGATGCTATCAACGAATGGGACCCCACTTAATCCTACGGATCAACTTATCTTGGCCTACCATCTTCTTGAAGCATAACTTTTAGGTAAAAAGAAATTTCCTAATTTTTCTAGAACATAAAAGTCAAAAAAAAAAAAAAAATTAAAAAAAATTGATCAATTGGGATTTTCTTGATTGATTATTGATTAAAAAATTACATACAAGTAAGTTTAAATGCATGACTGAGAGAGAACTAATTGGAATCATTGGTGAGGCAGATAAATGGTGGTTCAAGGCGGGTGTCATTAGTGAGGTTGATTGGAGGAGTGTCGACGGTGGCGAAGGAGTTGTAGATAAAGTCGATAGCTAAAGTTTAAGTATATATTTGCAATGGATTTGTAATTTTTCAAAAATTCGGGATTATAGTTACAAATAGCTCTTTATTTTTTTATCCCTCTCCTTTTGTTTTATTTGAACGGGGGTAAATTTGTCTTTTTATTGATAAAATGGATGAAAAAAGACCTTTTGAGCAATGAAATGTGGAAATTGAGGTAATTCCGTTAATTAAATACAAAAATACCTTTTTCTTTCCATAAACAAGGGTAAAATTGTCCTCACCCACTTCACCCCTTTTTCCCGCCATCAACTTAGTCCATAAGTAACAGTAGCAGCAACATGAATCTGAAAATACTTTAAATGATTAAGTTAAATAAAGAAAAAATATCGTAAACACATTATATTTCACAATTCCACAACTACTGTTGCTGTCATCTTGTGTCACTGGAAAAATTTAGAAAGACATATTAAATGGGTAGTCAATTTATAATGATTCAATTTAAAATGAGTCATTCATCTTCTCCATTGAGCCAAAAAGAGCCATTCACCATTTTGGCTTATTATAAATTGACTACCCATTTAATACGTCTTTCTAAAATTTTTCAGTGACACAAGATGACAGCAACAGTAGTTGTGGAATTGTAAAATATAATGTGTTCACGATATTTTTTCTTTATTGAACTTAATCATTTAAAGTATTTTCAGATTCATTTTACTGCTACTGTTACTTATGGACTAAGTTGATGGCAGGAAAAAAGGGGTGAAGTGGGTGAGGACAATTTTACCCTTGTTTATGGAAAGAAAAAGGTATTTTTGTATTTAATTAACGGAAAAACTGACGGAATATGGACGGAAGGACGTCCAGCGCAAAAGTTGAAATGAGGGCAAAAATGCAAAAAAATGAAAGGTAGGGACGTTTTCCACAATAGACTTGAAAGGTAGGGACGTTTTGTGTCAATTACCCTTTAATTAACGGAAAAACTGACGGAATATGGACGGAAGGACGTCCAGTGCAAAGAAAGGTTGAAATGAGGGCAAAAATGTCAAAAAATGAAAGGTAGGGACGTTTTCCACAATAGACTTGAAAGGTAAGGACGTTTTGTGCCAATTACCCTTTTTTTAAAATTTTTGTATGAAAACTGACCTGCAAAATAATTTATTTGAAAGGAAGTTTTGATTCTTTTAAATGTCGTGTTTGATTTTATTGTGTTTATCATTTATGTTGGTATTGCTCAAGTCTACTCTAAATGTTATTTGGTTATTTCTTGCAAGTTGATTACTGAATTCCTTCACTTTGCAATATTTGATAATCTGGGATATTTTTAATTCTACCTCATCAATCAAGTTCTAACATTTTAATTGGTTATAATTATGTCCACTAAAAAATTTGAATCTGGATATTCTAAAAGAAAACATAATAAAAAGGTTGAACAATTGATTAAATCTCAAGAGGGAGCCCTTAATAAAAAATTTAGTGGCAGTACAGAAACATAATGAAGGTGTGGTTACTGAAGGAGAGTCCAATAATAACGATATTAGTGGTAATACAATTGAAAAACATCATTGCTTGGTGAATGAAGAGGTATCAATCGGGGATGATGTTATGGATGAAAGAAACATTAATGAAAAGGATAGTCTGGATAGTAAACCATTTTCCCTTGACATTAGTGATCCAGCCAATTGGAAAAATATGAATCAGAATTTAAGAGACTTAATTGTAATGAAAGGTTTAGTACGAGACAATGATGTAATTTTTCCAAAAGATGCAGCTAATCGACACTTCTCCTCTGTTCATTACATTCGACAATTACCCAATGGAGAGAAGCATAATAGAAAGTGGTT